TGGCAATAAGAACACTTTTCCAGTTGGCAGACGATGTCAGCGCCCGCTGGCCACTTGCTTCCAAGGTACTGAAGCAGTATATGTATGTGGATGATGTATTGGCAGGAGCTCATGACAGGGAAACAGCCATTCAAACTCGAGATGAACTGATAGAGGCGTTAAAAGGAGCGGGATTCCCACTCAGGAAATGGACGTCTAATACTACAAGTATTTTAGCTGGATTACCGAAGGAACATCTGCTGAAGGAAGAATTTCTGAACATCGATGACTTGAGCGAGGCGAAGATGCTGGGTATCAGATGGAATGCAGCTCAAGACGCATTCTATTTCAACGTGCAACACATCCAGGTAAGGCATAGCTACTCAAAGAGAGAGGTACTATCATGTGTAGCCAAACTATTCGATCCGGCCGGTTGGTTGGGTCCGATCGTAGTAAAGGCAAAAATACTCATGCAGGACATATGGTTAGCTAAAATAGACTGGGACGATAGCCTACCGAGAAACCTCTACCTTCGTTGGGAACAATTTCTCAACAATTATAGGTACATAGGTGAAATCCGTGTTCCCAGATGGATTCATTTTACTCCTTGGGATGAAATTGAATTCCATGGATTTTGTGATGCGTCGGAAAAGGCATACGCCGCAGCGGTATACGTGAAAATACGGGAACGTAATTCCGATAGCGTGCCGTACATTAACTTATTGGTAGGTAAAACTAGCCAGAAGCACTCTCTGGTGGCATGGACCAAACTGGTTGACCAAGGAACAATCTCAATGGCCACTTCACGAGAAGAACATTGCCCTTAATACGGAGTTAGAGCAAAAGACAACGCGAGTACATGCAACCAGCGTCCAAGACCACGAAGATATTTTAGATAGGTTCTCAGATTTCTCCAGAGCACTGCGCGTAGTAGCAAGAATTTTCAGGTTCTATAAACGAGCGCCCCCGACGCACCAACAAACAGTGACGGAGAATCAAAGCGAGTTAACCACGGAAGAAATTCGAGGAGCCAAAGCACGACTTATTATCCTAGCGCAAAAACACAGCTACTCGGAGGAATACCAGGCTCTGAGGAAGTCAGCCCCCGTCAGCGCAAAAAGTGCTCTAAAAACTCTAAACCCATTTCGCGATAAAAATGGGATTATGATAGTTGGAGGAAGACTTGCGCTGTCGAATTTGTCATATAGCGAGCGTTTTCCCATCATTCTACCCTACAGTTGCCAATTCTCTAGACTGCTCGTAAAATTCTCCCATTTGATTTCGCTGCATGGAGGAAACCAATTAATGGTGAGACTGTTGAGATCAGAGTTTTGGATCGTCAGGATGAAAAACCTCGTAAAAAATATTGTTAACATTTGTAAAGTTTGTATCATTTACAGGAAGAAAACGCGAGTACAAATAATGGCAGCCTTACCTCCAGAACGCACAGAGCTAACCAGACCATTCGCAAACACGGGCATCGATTTCACCGGCCCGTTCGACATTCGTAACTTTACCGGACGAGCCTGCCTAATTACTAAAGGCTACGTCTGCGTCTTCGTATGTGTATATGCAACAAATGCTATCCACTTAGAAGCCACAAGCGATTTGTCTACCTCAACCTTCATAGCCGCCTTGAATCGATTCGTAGCTCGGCTTGGATGCCCACGCAATATATATTCCGAGAATGGCACGAATTTCGTGGGGGCTAACAAAATGATAAAGCAGGATTTTGAGAACTTCGTCAAATCGGCATCCCATCTGGCTATTCAATCCTTCGCCCACCAGGAGTTGAGCTGGTACTTCATACCTCCCGGTGCACCCCATATGGGAGGAATATGGGAAGCCGGAGTAAAAAGTTTCAAAACACATTTCAGGAAGGTATCAGAGTCAATGCGATTCACGATGGAGGAGTTTTCAACCCTGTTAGCCAAAATCGAAGCTTGTCTAAACTCAAGACCGATTAGCCCGCTTTCAGACGACCCCGACACATTGGAACCACTCACCCCAGGACACTTTTTGGTCGGAAGCCCGCTACTCGCAAAGGCTGAACCGGAGACAGTCGGCAACCCGATATCGATCGTCAACCGCTGGCAGAAGATAAAAGCAATTCACCAAGGACTCTGTCGGCGTTGGAAAGCAGAATACCTTAAAGAATTGCAGAAACGCGAGTACAATACGTGACTCATCCCTATTGGGAAGGGTCCTGTTAATCAACGTTCCGTTACACCTTCCACCTTCTGTGGAAGAAAGGCCGATGTTGCCGTTTATAACCTCTCTTTTTTTGCGAAACCTCAGCAGCAGCAACATCAGGTAAGAATAAGTTTTAAAAAAACTTGAGGATTGTCTGAAGGTTCGGCTCTATCTTACGATCCCCGTCTCCAGAATTCAGGAGGAATTCTGGCCCATCCATCCCGGCACGAATATCGACAATTATAAAAATTCCGGACAAAATTAAAACAACGACGGTGGAGTGTACACAGCCGAGTTTGATTATTCCATCATTTACTGAAAATTATAAAATTTTTACGGTTATAACCTTACGAGAATACTTTGACAGAACGAAAGATCTAATAAATCAAAAAGAAAACCTTTTTATTACATTTAAGAAACGGCATCGTGAAGCATCGTCGCAAACAATAAGTCGTTGGATTAAGCAAATAATGCAAGAGAGCGGTTTAGATATAAATCTATTTACGGCAGTACATGTCACACGGCTACTTCAGCAGCATTCCGAAAGGGTGATGATGTTGAAACTATTCGAAAAGCTGCAGGATGGGCAAAGAAATCCAAGACTTTTGCTCGGTTTTATAATCGCCCAATCGGAAAGGAAGTAAATTTTGCGAGTTCAATTTTTAATGTAAGAATAATCAAATAAACCACTCTATTAAAACAAATCTCCATATTTTGTAAATAACTACAAGTTATAATGATCTCGAGGACGAGACAGCGTGGTATAATTATACGATCAAACGGACTTACCTGAGTGAAGTTCGATCGTAATTATACTAGCTGTCTCGTCCGAAGAGATCACACCCTCCCTCCCTCAAGTTCTGTATCATTGTTTATACATAATTTTCGTTAACCTTGGTCGATTTGTTATTATTTGTAAAATGAATGAAGTAAAATAAGATAGTGAACCAATCATAGTGTTACCATCGATAATCAAATTCTTTTTAGAATTGTGAAGGGTTGTGAGTAGATCATGCAACTGGAAAGTTCGTTTGATCGTACAATTATATTTTTTTCTTCAATAAAAACATCTGGAAATAATAGAACAAAGTAATAATGCCTTTTTCACAGATGGACACTCTTATCGGCTTAAAATGTTGGTGCTTTATTCATATATGGGTAGTAATAACGGAATTATTGCTTAATTTTAAAACGGGTGGTAATAACGGAATTATATAGAACAACGCAATGTTGCCTTATCCATAACTGATTGACGTCTTGTTGATTTATTCATATACGGGTAGAAATAACGGATTTACAGATATTACTTAACTCAAAAACAGATACAAAAAACAAAGTAATGCAATGTTGCCTTATTCATAAACAGATACAGATTAACATTCATAAATGGGTAGTAATAACGTTATTACATTTGTTTCTCTACGCAAAAACATTTAGAAATAATAGAAGAACATAATGTTGCCTTTTTCAAAAACAAATACTGTTATTGGGTTAAAATGTTGGTGCTTTATTTACAAACGGTAGTAATAACGGAGTTACATATGTTTCTTAAAGCTAAAACATCTAGAAATAATGAAAGAACGACTTGAATTTTATTGCTATATTTAAAAACGTTTAGTAATAACGGAATAATATATTTTTCTTCACTCAAAAACATCCAGAGGGTATAGAACAACGAAATGTTGCCTTATCCATAACTAATGAACGCATTGTTGAGTTATTCATATACGGGTTGAAAAAACGGATTAACAGATATTACTTTACTCCAAAACAGATACAAAAAACAGAATAATGTAATTTTGCCTTATTCATAAACAGATACTGTTGTCGGGTTAACATGTTGATGCTTTATTCACATACGAGTTATTCGTGCCGGGATGGATGGGCCAGAATTCCTCCTGAATTCTGGAGACGGGGATCGTAAGACAGGGCCGAATCTTCAGGCAATCCTCAAGCTGAAAAAGAAATAAAAACCTTCTCCAACAAATAAAGAATAAGAAGGAAAATCTTTAGTTGATGTTAGACACAGATTTATTTTGAATAAAAGGGCAGCTGTACATGTGAAGAGAGGTTTTTTAAAACTTGTTCTTACCTGATGTTGCTGCTGCTGAGGTCCCGCAAAAATAGGGGAATTTTGGACGGCAACATCGGCCTTTTATGCTTTCCACAGAAGGTGGAAGGTGTAACGGATCGTTGATTAACAGGACCCTTCCCAATAGGGATGAGTCACGTAATGTACTAGCAGCAGCGACATCTCCTGTGGTAGATTCTGGCTTTGGTGCAGGGTTGCATACTCAAACTTGCCGCCCGCCTAGCAGCATCACTGCAATATAACTACAAACTATTACTGAATATAAAAAATTTAATTGACAATTCATTGATATATATTTCATTAATTCAACTTAATTATATGATTCACAATTCATTCGAGTTCTTAACTTATAATGGAAATCTGTCCGCTTCCTGTTCTGTCTGGTTGGAGGGTATTGGCCTAGAAGGGTGTGCTGCCCGAAAGCATCCATCCAAACATCGTATTCTGGGCAGTAGGACGAGTAGGAGTGGCTGCCATCAATCCAGGGTTAAGTATGGCGGCATATACTTCTGCGCCGAGAACTAGCGACACGTTGCTCGAGCGATGAAAACTCGGGTCTGCTAGTCTTATGTTGTCAAACTCGCTTCTGATTCTGGCGTCTAACGTACGCTCGGGGTTATGCGATTTAGTGTTGGCGTTATTAGTGCTTGAACTTCCAACCGCTCATGCCAACCTTTAAGCACAAGTCTGCATGCCTTCTCCCCTCTATGCAGCACACGTAGCCTGTGTGCCAGGGCCCTAGAGATTGTGCTTGTGCCTTGTCCGGGGTCAACAATGGCACGTACGAGGGATACATGTCCCTCTGTCATTACTTTGACCGCGACCGTAGGGGTGAGGACAGATTGTCCGAGTGAGGTATGAGCTGAACCAGTGATCCGCTCCCGGGCGTCTCTCATCCTTCGTCGCTGTTGTTGCTGCTGTCTGTGCCATGTGTCATGTTTGCCGCGGTTGTCTCCTGCACGTGTCGGTGCTTTCTGTACCGTTGACCGTATCCTCTGGGATTCGGTGAAGTCACAAGGGCAGGGGCTTCAGTCATTGGCGAATGAAGATCGGTCTCATCTGCATCCAGGATTAGCACCTCTTCGTCATCACTGCTTTCTTCTAAAGCCTTGGCTGTGTAGGGTTGTCGTTTTCGCCGCGCGGTGGTGTCATTGTCCAGAACAATGGATTCGCCTCCTCCATCCCGACCTTGCTCCCCTAGATGCAATAGGCTGTGGTGTCGCTGTTGACACCGATCACAGCTTTTGGGTGACGGACAGGTTTTCGCCATGTGATGGGGGGATAAACAATTGGCGCAATGGTAGTGCACGAGGACGGCTCGTAGTCTCTCGGCCGCTTCCATGCGACGCAGCTCCCTGCAAAATACTAGTCGGTGGTTATGACTACATACGGGGCATCTGTTCGTCGCCTTCTTATTTTGGTGATTTTTTGATTGGACTCGTACCATTTTGACTGTTGGGTGGAATTCTGGAAAAAGAGAAAAAGAAATTACTTAAACCTTCGCGATTGGCAGATAAACAAGTTTCACGATTGGCCTCGTGATTATTCCGCGTTCCGTTCGGACTTCTGCAACTCGAAATCGATTGTCTGAACCTAAAAAAACTCGAGGTTTCGTTGGGGTGATTGCCATTTCACGCGTTTCTGCGATTCTTTAAGGTATTCTGCTTTCCAACGCCGACAGAATCCTTGGTGAATTGCTTTTATCTTCTGCCAGCGGCTGACGATTGATATCGGGTTGCCGACTGTCTCCGGTTCAGCCATTGCGAGTAGCGGGCTTCCGACCAAAAAGTGTCCTGGGGTGAGTGGTTCCAATGTGTCGGGGTCGTCTGAAAGCGGGCTAATCGGTCTTGAGTTTAGACAAGCTTCGATTTTGGCTAACAGGGTTGAAAACTCCTCCATCGTGAATCGCATTGATTCCGATACCTTCCTGAAATGTGTTTTGAAACTTTTTACTCCGGCTTCCCATAATCCTCCCATATGGGGTGCACCGGGAGGTATGAAGTGCCAGCTCAACTCCTGGTGGGCGAAGGATTGAATAGCCAGATGGGATGCCGNGGTCCACTTATACACCACTGGTTGAGATATTTCCAGTTGTGGGAGCAACGTGTTAATTAATTCAGACAGAAGTAATGCGCCACACAATTCTAACCGAGGTAGCGAGATAGTTTTCACAGGCGCTACCTTCGTTTTACCTACCAATAAGTTAATGTACGGCACGCTATCGGAATTACGTTCCCGTATTTTCACGTATACCGCTGCGGCGTATGCCTTTTCCGACGCATCACAAAATCCATGGAATTCAATTTCATCCCAAGGAGTAAAATGAATCCATCTGGGAACACGGATTTCACCTATGTACCTATAATTGTTGAGAAATTGTTCCCAACGAAGGTAGAGGTTTCTCGGTAGGCTATCGTCCCAGTCTATTTTAGCTAACCATATATCCTGCATGAGTATTTTTGCCTTTACTACGATCGGACCCAACCAACCGGCCGGATCGAATAGTTTGGCTACACATGATAGTACCTCCCTCTTTGAGTAGCTATGCCTTACCTGGATGTGTTGCACGTTGAAATAGAAGGCGTCTTGAGCTGCATTCCATCTGATACCCAGCATCTTCGCCTCGCTCAAGTCATCGATGTTCAGAAATTCTTCCTTCAGCAGATGTTCCTTCGGTAATATAATAACAATATATGAAAGTATTAACTACTACATTACAATGTACATTATTAAAGATGATGTAGCGATTAGAGTCGTAGTAGTGCCAATGTATATATATATATATATAAATATAAATATATATCACGACATCTAAGTTGCACCAAATACCATATATTTGTCAACTTTCATGAATGCACAACTATAAACTTTTTATTTAATTTTGAATTTAAGAACTAGGAAAAGAGAAAAATATATTAGAGGAAAACATTATTATACTATTTTATCATACTCCATCAAACCAATTTCTTCTTCTTGGGATTTTACTTATTTAATTTAATTAATTTAAACAAATAAAATCAATTTATTGGGTATCATTTTATTTTAACAATCTATTTTATTTGTTTTACTTTTTATATTTTAAGTTTTTTTATATATATATTTTCTTATCAGTTATTTTATTTGTTTTGCGAAAAGTTGGTTTATGTTAAATTTTCCTTACAAAAAACTTAACAAAGTTTATCGAATTCCTCGAATTGTGAGAGTTTTGTATTACGATTTCAATTTTAATATTTCTTTGGTTTCATTTTTTAATATTTTTGCTCAAATCTATATTTTTTTATTATTCATTTCTTTCATTTTTTACGAAAAACTATTTATAAAAATTTTTACAATTACAATACAAACCTGTCCTAATAAGATTTATGAGGTACATTATGTTACTAATTTTATTATAAATAATTATATATTCGTACTATTTATTTTCCACACATTAAGTAAATCAAACAGTTTAAAAATAATCTCGGTTTTTTGATCTGATCCACTGCGCAGAAATCCATTTCTTATTGGGTGCACACTTCATACACAGAAAACCCCCTCCACGTTTCAGGTATCTACGACCAGTGGTTGAAGCTGTTGAGTGATCCGTCAGACATTCAGGATGAAACCTTTTATGTAAGTACTTACATAATATTTATTTAATATTCAAATTATTCTTTTTTAGTTATATGAATATTTTATTATTATATATTCCTACCACATAAGAAATAAAATATTGGGTCACTCTTTATTATTATAATTTTTTTATTTATTGTAGAACAAAAATTTAAAGCATTCATAAATATAATGTCTTTATTTACTAAGCACACAACAACTGTGTATTTCGTTCTCGTGTATTTTCGACTTAATCGGCTTCTAACTTCACAATCTTCAAAATCTTCGTGCGATCCTCCAATTTATGCTTCAACGTTCTACATCTCTAAGTTATGACCTGTGAATCGGAGATCGATATTAATAAGAGAATCCGTTGCGAAGGACTGTAATCGATCAAATTCATCTACAGCTGTGGCGTGTGCGTAAAATGTGAACTTTCTCTTATCGCCACGTGCTATTTCAACTGCTTCCTTTATAAAATCGCCTGAGACGCGTTCGCAATATTCCATGTATACTGTCTGTAGCTTCGGACAACTTCTCATTAAATAAACGAGTCCCTTGTTGGTGACGTGTTTGCAAGCGGAGATTGTCAACTCTTCAAGTTCCTTCAACTTTCCGAACTTGACCAAACCCTCATCATTGATTGTTTTGTCATTGCAAGTAATGGAAAGTGTTTTCAATTTCTTTAACTTTGAAATCTGTTCAATGTGTTGAAGGGTTAAAAATTTTCCTGATGATATCACCAAACCTTCCAAATAATTGGCCTTTAATTGTGCCAATGCAGCTATAACGCTAAGACTTTCATTTTTGCAGCGATGTAATAACTCAAGATGCTTAAGTTTCGGCATTAATGCCACACGATTACAAGAAAATTTTGGGCAAGACATCTTCAACACCTCGATTCGAGGGCAATGTTTGGCTAATGTCTTGTAAAATTCCGGATTGAGTGCGTCTATGCCACGGATGTCAAGTGAACGAAGGGTTTTCAATGAATCCCTTGCTTCCATGAAACATCTCTGATTGATAATGTTGCAGTCATAAAGGCCCAAGTGTGTGATTTGCCGAAGGTTTTTGAGATATGTATCTGTTTGAGAAAGAGAAAGAGAGAAAGAAAGAAATAGAGAGATAAATAATTGTATTTGCCAAATTTTAACTAAATTTTTTGTTTCTTTATATTAATAAAATTATTTTATTTTATATTATTTAAATAATCCAAATGAGCAGATTTTACTTTATACTTGTTTTTGATTTTATTTTTCATTGTTGTATTTTTTACTCTGTTTCACTTTATTTGTATTTACGGTTTATATGTTTATATGGTTTTCTTTAAATATGTTTAATTTAATTTTTTCACAATTTTGTATTTTTATTTTAATAATTTATCATTTTATTTCTTAATTTCTTTTCCACTTACCATGTAAATTGCAATCGTTAACCAAGGATAACGATTCTGGTTGCCCTGCTGCAGCATCTGCTTGCAAATAGTCGGAGAGTTGAGTGTTTTGAACTGAAGACATGTTTCCTTTTCGTGTTTCAAAAACTGAATGAATAACATTCGCTTGAGACGCCGCTTTTTATAGTCTGGAGGACAGGCACAGATTAAGCAAAATTTCAGCCATCTTGGCTTGAATTTCATGGGCACATTTTCAAAAAAGGTCACATCGGACCACAGGCAGACCGAACAGATTTTACGCCGGTTGAAGGGGATGAACAAATATTGACCTCAGAACATCATTAATTGTGGCGAGTTTTACAAAATTTGTTATCTAGGGCAATTAAAAAAAGATTAATGCTTATATTTCCTATTATATTTATAAAGCATTTAATAATCTTGTTGCAACGTCATACATACATATCTATATGTGTAAAAAAAAATAGAAATGTTTGCAAATCTTTTTAAATTCAATTTTATTCAACTTATATACGTAAGATCGCGTATTTATATGGGATGACCTTAAAAAAATTCCTAATAATTTTAAGAAAAATGCTTAATACTATTATCCTACAAAAATATATATACATAGTTATGCAAACAGGCGAAGCGAAATACCATTATTGAATTCCACGAAATTAGGCAAAAGAATTTAGAAGTGAAAATTAAAAAGGGTTGACTTGCCCCTTCATCACTTCTCTGCTATAATTGTTATTGTTTCTATTGATATTTTCAAATAAATATTGCACAACTAATAATAGAGAGAGAGAGAGTCAAATAGGAGAAAGAGAGAAGGGGAGAGTGTGAGAGGGAGAGACAAACAGAGGAACGAATTGACCAAGAGACTCTTGCTGCAACTACCCGTCTTCCATACCTTCCGTCCATAGCAACCTATCCAGAGAACTTATAATAACTTATAATAAATAAAAATGTAAATATGTAACTAGCATTTTTAATATCTGCGATATTACTTAAAAAAATGAGAGGAAAAAATAAAAACTTAAAATTTTTTTTTTAAATATTGAAAAAAAAAAATAAATTAAAATAGTTTAAAGAATTATATTTTTAAAAACCATTAAATATATTAAGAGACATTTAAAAAATTCAATATTATTAAAAAAGTTGCAAAAATATTTATTTTAACAAAGAAATTCTAGAGTTTTCACTATGATTGACTGAAATTACTATTGCTCTTATCAAATATGGTCATACACACATGTCATTCTTTAGAATAATATTTGAGATTTTTCCTATACTTTTGTCAGCGATCTAAATAAGTACAATACCAATTATGCCAAGAGAACTTAGAAGTGATCATTGGCGCATTGTGCGTCGATTCGTTTTTGCCCTAGCTGCGTGGGTTCAAATCCTTTTCTCACTTCCTTTTCGCGTTTTATTTTTTGAAATTGCCAAATAAATCGTCGCCAAGAAATGGCTTGTTGATTCGGGGTGCGAGGGAAAAAAAGTTGGCATACTTTTGTGTATGTATGGGTCTTTCATATACATGCAGGTACCTTTGAATGTGTTTGTATTTTACTTCAGCTCAACTTGATTTCCGATTTTTGTAAATTTTGTCATAGTCGCGAAGAAATCGTTTGTAGATGGCGGGATGAAAGAGGGAAGATCATGCGTGTTATTAAGATTGTGTGCGTTTTTCGTATACTTATTAAAATGCTTAAATGTGTGTGTTTTCACTTTGGCGTGAGTTGAACATCAAATTCTGATTTTTAGCAAAATTCCACTTCGCTTGAGGAAACTGTTTGTGGATGAAGAGTAGAAGGGTAAAGGGTTTCTATGCGGTAGTTGTTTTTATTGCCCTTATGCTTCTTCCTCTTATAGCAAAGAGCTTTTACAGAATTGCGCAGAGAAGTTGTTTTGTTGTTTTTGTTATTGATAGTATGAATGGCTTGTGTTTATGAATGAATGAAAATATTTGAAATTATTTGCCTTTAAATGACATTATGCATGGTTTAACGTTTACATAGAAATGCCCATATTTACATGCAAACACACATATGTTTAATATAGTATATAAAATATTTAATTAAAATTAAAATAAAACTATTTAAAATTATTTAATATTAAATAGCTATTTAATTTTCTAACTTCATTTCATAGTATTTTCCAATTTATTTTATGACATTGTTCAAATGTTATATTTATCTATTAAATTTTATGGATTATTCACTCCAAAAATCTATCATATTTTATCTACCGCCAAACATGCATACATACATATGTTTGTATATACACATTATATCTTCATTTGCGTACATATGTAAATACAACATTACCGTAACAACATATATAGATATATGTCGCCTAGTTGAACTTGTAAAAAATATTCTTCGCATAGTCAACAAAGCGTATGTCGCAAGCAAAACCTCTCCCCGCACGTTGCTCTTCCACAAGCCACAGCTCACAAAAATCAGAAATTGAAGAAATTTCTGTACCCGCTACGCACAAACATACTCTCGATAAGGCGAACAAATGTATTGCAATTCAAAAATTAATGTTCCCTAAATGCCCTCAAACCATAAGATTTTAATAAATATAATTTGAATTTACCTTTCAATAACATAAACTAATGAGCATAATCCTTTGAAGTAATGTACGCATTGTTCGCATTCACGCGCGAATACTGTGCAAATCAGCGAAGTCGATTTTGACGAAGTGCGCGCAGGGAGAACAATTCTTTCGTACATTTAACTGAATATGAAGAAGAAAAACTAATGGTCTATTTCTTTGATTCGGTACAAGTATAGAATATGCCAAAGAATTTTCATGTAGTGTTATGGCAGAGTTGGCATCGCGCAAGCGCTACATGGAATTTTGGTCCTTTGCTTCTTAGGAATGTTCAAATTCCTTCCGAAGGAAACAAAAATATTTATAAAAAAAATTGTTTTTTTTATTTTTATTTTATTTATTTAATAATTTTTGCAAATTAATAAAAAATTCTTAATGTAATGAATTTAAGAACTAAAAACTTTTATTCATAAAGCTTATTTTTGTGTGATGTCTGGCGTGGCTTTAAGCGCGTACAAGCTCACAGATATATTGAATATAAAAATAAAAAATTTATAAAAGAAATGGTTAAAAAGATTAAGGAAAATAAATTTTCTTTATTAAATAACAACAAAATGCGGCATGAAATACAATTAAAAAATTAATGAATCATTGGTTTTCATTATATTTCTATTCTATTTCCTTTAGTTTTACATAATTTGTAGTGAATAACAGTTTTTCTTTATGCTAAACTGTCAAATCTGTTTACAGTGTATAGTTTACAGCCAAATTTTAACAGTTGCACCTTCTCGTTATTATAAGTTCTCTGCCTATCTTATGAGATCGCCATGTAACCACAAAGTTGTCACCGCTTGCCCACGCCGTTAGTGACGGTTGTCCCGCAGAAACCTACGGCGATTTGATTTTTTCCCTCAAACCGGCCAGTATCGGCTTTTTTAAAGTAATATTAATTAATCGAAGATAATGAGTAGTTTTTTTTTTCAAAAGATATAAAAACTGAATGCGTAACTAATTATTTGTTACCAAACTGAGTTTATATTCAAACACATAAATTATGAAATTTGTTACGAAAATTATATATTTGATGCTCTCAGCAAATGGGTAGTTGCAGTATCAGGTAAAAATGCACCCGTTCAATTTTGTTTAACTAAAATACAAAAAAATGCAATTACTCGCTTTTGCTCATAACTCCTAAAATTTTGTAGTTTTTAACATGAAATTGAGCACGAATCTTATTTTTTGAAAACAAAATGTGTGCAGCGAGAACCATATACAATGCCTTATCCCAGGACATAACTTCCATACAAAAATTGTTTTTCAGCAAAAAGCCTTAAACTCGGCAGATTAACTACTGATCTCGAGTCATTAATGATGTTTCTGTATAATACAAAGTTTTTTTTTTTCAAAAATGAGTTTTTAAATTCTAATTCCTACAATTTGAACAATTAAGTACACGAATTTTCTTACGCAGTCCTCAAATGCAAATAAAATGTTTGGGCGTGAAATTCGTGAAGATTTAAACTAAAAAATATAGCGCCCCTACATGTCGTTATTCAGAAACAATGCTTTAAAATGTTGCGCAATATTTAATGTATAAAAAAAGAAAAAAACAACAAAAAATATTTAATGTTTTCAAACATAACAAAACGGATTTATTCCTTTCCAATGAGATGCGCTTTCGTTATTTACGTAAATATTTTGAAGTTTTTATAGTGAGAATTAGACAAACTAGATTAAGTTTAACATTTCCATCCCAGGTGCATAGATCAGAGAATATTAATACAATTGCATTAAATTAATTATCAAATACTTTGACGAAAATTACAGTTACATTCTAAATATATCTAGAAAATAACAATTACTGTCCCATCTTCACACATTATATTAAATCACAAGAAAAGCCACAAAAGTAATCAATGCATTAGATATGTAAAAAAAAATTATCAGACCAATACTAAGTTGCTTTCCTCATGTACACAATAAAATTTTGATTATTAATTAATATCAAACCCGCCCACGTGTTGCTGTGGCTGACTGATTTTAGAAGAATTTGAAAGACAAAATTTAACACAAATTAAGATTACATTTTTATAACATTTATTTAATAAATACTTTAAATATTTTTATTTGATATACATACATACTCTAAATATCTTTAATCGTAATAAATCGCAGTTGATGTTCAATGAAGCGCCAAACGATGTACAAAATTTGGATCAATCGGTCCTTTGTTAATTTAAATAAATTTGATGGTCTTTCCACTCGTGAACACGCCACGTATAATTGCCCACGGGAGAAACATGGGGTTTCCAAGTCTAAGCCGTAAATAGAAATTGTTTGGTCTAGAGATTTTTTCATAGACATCGCGAAAGCTTAACGAATGGGAAATTGTAGCCTTTTAAATGGAATGGTATCATCGGAATACGTGGTAACAAATCGGTTTCTCCTTTAAACTTTTCTGTTAAAATAGTTGCTTCAAAAACATTTCCAGTGATTCTTTTGATCACCAAACAAGTACCGTTGCATAGTTTAGGAGGGTTTAAATTACGCAGTAGAATAATCTGGGATCCAATTTTCAAGAAGATTGTGTGGTTGCCTTCTTGATGTGTCTTCACAGCCTCTTCTTCTCCTACAGTAGCATCGATAGACGCTGCCAAAATTGCACGGTTACGAAGCCAGTATTGATTTAAATAGTTATTTATTATGTCTGGGAAGACGTCTCCAAGATCCAGTAATTGCTTAGAAAATTGTTGTGCTCTTGGATCATTCTGGAGTTTTACAACATTGATTTCTTTAGACCTGCATTAATTTCATCTGCAAAATTGGAGCGATTAATAACAACAATCACCGTTGATGATTAGTTTTTTATTAATAATTATTTATTGAGAGATTCCGCGGTCGCGGAAATTGTTTCAACTAAAATCTAAAGTTAAACTTTCTAATTGGGGTCGCCCCTCGGCACGGAATGTCAACCTCTTCGAGTGTATTTCTGACATGAAATAAAGTGTTACGTGGCTGCCTGTCGGGATAAGTCTCTGGGGTGGGATGGCATGCTTGCGATCTCAAGCTAGCTCGTCGTCTGGGGAGGTTCTTGCCACTTTCGCCTTACCTTCAGCCACTATAACCATTATTTATAACTCATGCTGTTTGATCTGGGGAAGGAGGGTGGTACACGGATGTACGAAGAGGGATATGCAAAGGGAAATTAGGGTAACTGTCCTGTCAGTTGGAGCCGGCCCACCCGCTCTACTCGTGTTCCTTGAGAAACCATGGACCTTGTTATGGCTGCCAAGTTTCCACAAGGCCCCCTTTACTTGACATCGGTGCGACTGTCCAGCTTCACTGGTACGTCCATTCCTTATTCAGTCTGTTATCGTGTCGTCACACGCATTTCCCTTTGGTTACACGAACGCAACACCCAAACCAACGTGTGTTCCCAGTAGAACATTTCTCCAATGAGGATTACCCGATATGAGATGGTAGTAAAATTCATGTGATATTTCATAATTCATGTAATATTTATTTTTACATAATGTCATGATTTTTGTTTGTTTAAAACTCCAATTTGATTATGATTTATTGTATTTATATACACATAGCTATAGATCTATTCATATACTGGTATTTCCCTATATTATAAAAAATGGTACGTTAACTTACAAAAAAAAGAAAGTTATTATAGGGCCAGAGTGAACGGTTATGTATGCATATGTATATAGAATTATGTATTTCGACGAAAAAAAATGTCTCAAAAAATAATATTTGCAGCCGTGACTGTGTCCCAATCATTGTGTTTGACACTCTCTTCCCAGCAGTGCAATGCAAACCAGTCAATACTAATGCTGGGAGAACAAATGCTTACTCGCTACCACTTACCCATCTCTTATCAGATGTAGGCGCCTAAATCCAGTGAGATGGGTGAGCTGGAATTGTAACTAGCAACAAAACTAGGACTGTCAATCGGCCTTCATACGTGGATTTTATCTAATGCTTGTTTCGGAGTTTAGTTAATAAGAGTGATGCGGTCATTACAGAGCTCTACTTTGGACATATTTCAATTCCCTTTTTCGTGACACCAGTTAGTTCAATTTCGGAACTGAGTTATTATCATGTATTTTATGATAAGATGGATTCTGCCTGGATTCGGCAACTCGGCAAACGAGGGATAAGCTGGGGAAGGATAAGGGCGCCGATTTCATTTTACGCCTTCAGGTAGGTACTTGTTTGAGTTCACCATTCAGTGTTTACAGGTGATACCATGTGTGCGTATTTTACAAAATCGCTCAAGCCAGAAGAGATTTTCTGGTGTTCGACAAAAACACCTGTGAATTTTTGAATTGGCCAGTTCAGCTAGATATGCTGCACTGAGCGAATCTTCCTCCTTCATTTTCCCTTTTGCGTTCGTAGACTATGATCCGTAGTAGCACGACTCAGTTTGACCTGAAAATTTCGGCATGGATGAGAACTAACTGGAGCCATTCTACTTAATTGCCTGATCTTAATATATTTCCATTTTATTTTGTTTTATTTCATTTTTATTATTATTTTTGTTTGTTTATGTATTTGTGAATGTCGGTATTTGCGCATATTGTACTCACATATATTGTACAACAGTTAATTATAATTTAATTTCTAGTTTTTATAATTGAATTCAATTTCACTGCTTCACCTTAAATTTTATGTTAGCTTCCCTTTTCTTTTGGCTTATTTGCCCCGTGTTATATTTTTACTTTTCGATGTAATTTAAACCAGATTAATTTTTGTCATATTTTATTGATTTGACTTTCTTTTGACTTAATTTGAGTCATTTCAGCCATGGTTATTTTGTTTATTAAAATTTATTCTTTTTATTTTTATTTCTTCTTACCTATTTTAATTTAATGAACTTTCCAAATTCTAAGTAATATCCGATTTTCTTTTTTTTTTTTTGCATAATTACTTCTTTAACAGGAGCTTTCCTATTTTTTCCTTGAGGTCTCGGTTAATAATTTTCTATTTTTTTTCAATAATAAATTTTCACTTCCACTTGTAATTACTACCTCTTTTCTTCTGATTTTTATTATCCGTGTTACTGTTGATCAAACCCCATGTAAAAAAATTTTCTCAAGTCACTTTCCCTCGAGCAAACCCAAACATATTAAATTTTCACACATATACACACCACTTTCGATCATCCAACATACGTCCCTGCAAACACCATGAAATATATACTCCATGCGGACCAAGGAGTAGTCCAAAATTAACCACAACCCATACAAAAAAAATGGTCCCATTAACATTGCGATGTCCTAGAGCTGGGCCATATAATATCTCTTTGCATGATACCCGAGTACATGGTATTGGTTTTAAAACTACTCCATGGAGTACCTACCGGATACTCCTTTTTCCATTGCATTTAAATAATTAAATAATAATGAAAGTATTAACAATGAAATTCATTTCATTTAAAAACTAAATTTTGTAAATTATATTTAGTGAAAAGTTCACAATCTTTTAAAAACAGTTCATATTTACCGAAATGCCTAAAAAAAGGGTAATCAGTTGCGATGAAGAGTTAGAAGTGAAGAAGGTAAGTCTCATGTTGAGACTACCAATTTAGTGGAGACGAAATGGCGTCTAACCAGTAAACGAGAAGACCGGACAGTCATACGCAAGTCTCTCAAGGATCGCAAAAAATGTTCTTCTGCCCTTGCAGCTGCCCTTTCGCTGCTCTCACGGCCCGAAAGAAGCCGTGGATCTCAGAAAAGAATAGGAAATATCGTCGAAAGTTTTTTGTTCTGATGAATCAAACTTAAAATATTAACAGCCATAGCTTACATAAATGTATTCTTCTTCTGCCTTCGTTAACGCGTATTTTCGGTGATACTAATTTAGACGGGGTTCAATTTCGGCAAGACAATGCTCCTTGTCACATATCAGCGACTATGATGCTTTGGTTTTGAGATAACAACATTGTTTTGTTAGATTGGTCTGCACAGTCTCCAGATCTTAATCCCACTGAGCACATGTGGGCTATTTTAAAACGCAAGATTAAGGAAGACAGTATCACATCAAAAAAAGCCTTAAAGAATGCCTTAATTAACGAATGATACGCTATAAGTGCGGACGAATGTGCAGAGTGTGTACACAGCAGGCTTACATTACACTATACATTATTTAAGATGATGTAGCGATTTAGCGAAACGTGAGTTGATCCAAAAGTGCCCACAGAGAAGTAACATTTTGATTACTCGAAAGGACCATTTGGTCCACAAATATTTGCAGGCTACAACTGTAGGCCCCTCTATTTGTTGGAAACACATCAAGACAAAACCACAAATTGGAGGAGAAGCTCGGCCGAGCTCGGTCACAACTGTGCTAATTATATACATATTTATATATATATCACAATATCTAAGTTGCACCAAATACCATATATTTGTCAACTTTCATGAATATCATTTGACTCGCTTTTGAGTTATTGTGGAAAATGCACAACTATAAACTTTTTTATTTAATTTTGAATTTAGGAACTAGGAAAAGAGAAAAATAGATTTAAGGAAAACATTATTATACTATACTATTTTATCATTCTCCATCAAACCAATTTCTTCTTCTTGGGATTTTTACTTATTTAATTTAATTCAATTTAAACAAATAAAATAAAGTTATTGGATAACATTTTATTTTAACTATCTATTTTATTTGTTTTACTTTTTATATTTTAAGTTTTTTTATATATTTATTTTCTTATCAGTTATTTTATTTGTTTTGCGAAAAGTTGATTTATTTTAAATTTTCCTAACAAAAAACTTAACAAATATTATCGAATTCCTCGAATTGTGAGAGTTTTATATTACGATTTCAATTTTAATATTTATTTGGTTTAATATTTTTATTATTTTTGCTCAAATCTATAGTTTTTTTATTATTCATTTCTTTCATTTTTTACGAAAAACTATCTATAAAAATTTTTACAATTACAATACAAACCTTTCCTAATAAGATTTATGAGGTACATTATGTTACTAATTTTATTATAAATAATTATATATTCGTACTATTTATTTTCCACACATTAAGCAAATCCAAGCCATCGAATCGACCCCGAGACCACTTTCCGCGGGGCAAGTGTTTCCTATACTGATTCAGACAAACAGTTACCTGTGTATCAAATGCGTACGTAAATCAAACAGCTTAAAAATAATCTCGGTTTTTTCGATCTGATCCACTGCGCAGAAATCCATTTCTTATTGAGTGCACACTTCATACACAGAAAACCCCCTCCACGTTTCAGGTATCTACGACCAGTGGTTGAAGCTGTTGAGTGATCCGTCAGACATTCAGGACGAAACCTTTTATAAAGTACTTACATAATAATTATTTAATATTCAAATTATTCTTTTTTAGTTATATGAATATTTTATTATTATATATTCCTACCACATATGAAATAAAATATTGGGTCACTCTTTATTATTATAATTTTTTTATTTATTGTAGAACAAAAATTTAAAGCATTCATAAATATCATGTCTTTATTTACTAAGCACCAACAACAACTGTGTATTTCGTTCTCGTGTATTTTCGACTTAATCGGCTTCTAACTTCACAATCTTCAAAATCTTCGTGCGATCCTCCAATTTATGCTTCAACGTTCTCCATCTCTAGGTTATGACCTGTGAAGCGGAGATCGATATTAATAAGAGAATCCGTTGCGAAGGACTGTAATCGATGAAATTCATCTACAGCTGTGGCGTGTGCGTAAAATGTGAACTTTCTCTTATCGCCACGTGCTATTTCAACTGCTTCCGTTATAAAATCGCCTGAGACGCGTTCGCAATATTCCATGTATACTGTATGTAGCTTCGGACAACTTCTCATTAAATAAACGAGTCCCTTGTTGGTGACGTGTTTGCAAGCGGAGATTGTCAACTCTTCAAGTTCCTTCAACATTCCGAACTTGACCAAACCCTCATTATTGATTGTTTTGTCATTGCATTGCTCTTTGCTTATACCGATGCATGTAGGAAATTTTTTCGGCTTTGATCTATCTTCGCCTTGGCTAATTTCTACAAGACTTTTGTTTCTGTTTCGTGCGTTTTAACTTAATAGCTTATAAGTTATAAGAAACAAAAATAACATAAGAACCGAATAAACATTTTATTTGATGCATCTGAAAATTGCATGCAGACGAAATCGCGGGCGAACTCTGTTGTACTTATAAATCGGAAGGTGAATTGTAGCAGATTTTCGGAAAACAAAAAACTCAATTCGAAGCAACTGTTCTGAATTATGTTTTGATAGAAACAAAAATAAAAAAATCTCACTAATTGTAATTAACACAAAACAATCACGTACATACATATGTATGGA